AAGTCTCTGGTGTGTCCCTGTGCCAGCAGGACTGGCCGAACGCTCTGGTGAGAATCCACCTTGGTGTTTTCCATTGGAAAAGCTCTTTGGGAGTGTCATGGAGCCATTTTCTGTGACTTTTAGTTCCCACGTCAGCATCAATTCCCTTGTTCCCACTTCCAAATTCCCTGAGCAGGAATCCTGCTGTGGCTGTCTGCTGCAATTTTGCAGTATAAAACTGGGTGGGATGTAAGGGTTCTTTTCCAGGCAAGGGTTTCTTTCCTTGGCTCCGCTCCATTGGATCCCATCTCTCTCCCTGAATGTTGGTGATGTCCCCTGGTGTGCTTTATCCCAGGATGACTGATCCCACGTTTCTGTCCCCAGGCCATCGCGCACTACGAGCAGGCCGCGGATTACTACAAGGGGGAGGAATCCAACAGGCAAGTCCTTGGGATCAGCGGGAAGGGCTGGAACAGGGATCCATCTCAGCCACTCCCACAGCCAGCACACTTCTAATTTGGGCTATTCCAAGAGAATTCCTCTAAATTCCAGCTGTGGGCTCCCACTTTTCTCTCTGGGAAGGGGTACTGGGGTGAGGGCTGGTGAATTCCTGGGATTCAGGGCCTAATTTTCAGGATGTGGTTGCAGCTCAGCCAACAAGTGTCTGCTGAAGGTGGCAGCCTACGCGGCACAGCTGGAGCAGTACCAGAAAGCCATCGAGATCTACGAGCAGGTCAGGAGCCAAATCCCATGGGAATTGCACCTCTGCCCAAGGAAAAGGGCTCGGGTTGTCAAAACTGCCAGAATCAGGGAATTGCTTAGGCTGGAAAAGCTCTCTGAGGTCACTGTCCCACTGTTACCCCCACATGGCCTAGCATCCCCAAGTGCCATATCCATGATTTTCAGTGTTTCCAGGAAAAGTTTGGGATAAATCCGTAAAAAATCCCCTTTGAACATATTTACAACTCCCTTTGGCAGAAAAGTCCCTCCTGGATTTATCAGCTCTGCTTTTTGTTGGATATTTACCTGTGAATACCTACAGTGCTACTTGGTGCTTCAAGAGGCTTAATCCTGGAGCAGCTTTTTCCCAAATGGATTTGTATTTCCATTTCTTCATCAACCAAGGATCAGCCTGGTGGGATCTGACTTCCCTTGGGATGAGTTCAAAACCTCCCTGCTTCCCAACAGCTTTTTGGCATTTTTTCCATGCCTTTTATTCCCAGCCCTGTGGCTCAGGGTGGAATACAAATTGGTTTAATCCAGGCTTTCCTTTCCTGCCCCTTTTTTCCATGTTTTTTTGTCCAGGTGGGAACAAACACGATGGATAACCCTTTGCTCAAGTACAGCGCCAAAGAATATTTCTTCAAAGCTGCCCTGTGCCACTTCATCGTGGATGAGCTGAATGCCAAGGTCAGTTATCCCAGAATTCCCAGTTCCTCCTCACTAGCCTTGGCCAGCTGGGAGAGGCTCGGTGGGTTCACAGCTATTACCCCAAAATCCCTGAACCCTCCTCAGCAGTGGCTGGAATTCTCGATGTGCCATTGTCATGTTGGATTCTTGGTGGATACTTTCCCAAGTTTGAGGATGGGAAGGCAAATTCTGGGGAAAAAAAAAAAAAAAAAATAGGAATGGTGTGCAAAGGGATCTCATCTCTCTTCCAGCTTGCGCTGGAGAAATACGAAGAAATGTTCCCGGCTTTCACAGATTCCCGGGAATGCAAGCTATTGAAAGTGAGTAACCAGGGGGCTTTCCCACTTTTCCAGGGGTTTTCTCCTTTATCCCAGCATTTTAGAGGACATCAGCCTCACTTTTCCTTGGGTTTGGCCCAGACCCCCAGTTGTGGTGGGTGCTTTTCATGGGTCTCTGTTCCCTGGGATGAGACGCTGGAGCAGGAACATGCAGGAATAGAGTGTTCCCTAATCTTTCCTGGTGTTTTCCCAGAAACTGCTGGAAGCTCACGAGGAGCAGAACAGCGAGGCCTACACCGAAGCTGTGAGTACTCATGGGTTCACTTGGGAATGCTGCTTCTTCCTTCTCTTTTTTGGGATGCCTTTGCCCTGTTCAGTATTTGGGAACCTGCAGAGAGGGGCCAGGGACAGCGGCTCCAGCAAGGTCCCAGCCTCCTCCTTAAACATTCCTGGGGTTTCATGGAGAGTTCAGATCCTGCCTGGGTTTGCTCCAGCTCCTTTGGTGTTTGACAAGAGCTTAAAGTGCTCGGGTTGGGTTTGGAGAGACTTCTCTCTGGACTTTCCCCTTGCCTTTGTGGCCCTGTGCCTTTTCCCCTTTTTTTTTTTTTCTCCATTCCCTCTTTTTTCCCTCTGCTTTCCCTTGTTTACCCCCGACATCCCCTTTTTGTTGCCCTTCTTCCTTTTCACCTCCTTCCCTTTTTCCCTCTGTCCCCTTTCTTCCATTCTAGCCCCCTTTCCCCCTTTTTTTCCTTTCCCTTTTTTCCCTCCCCTTTTTTCTTTTCCCTTTTTTTTCCTTTTCCCTTGTTTTTCCACACTTTCCCCTTGCATTTTCCCCTTCTTTCTCCTTGCCTTTTTTCTTGTTTTTTCCTCGTTTCCCCCCCAGCTTTCCCCTTGGTTCTTTCCCTTTCTCCACTTCCTCTTTTCCCCCTTTATCTTCTTTTCCCCTTTTTCCCCCCCTTCCCCTTGTTTTCCTTTTGCCCTTGTTTTACCTTTGTCCTTGCTTCTCCTTTGCCTTTGTTTCCCCTTTTTTCCCTTTTCCCCTTATTTTCCCCTCCCTTTCTCCTTGTTTCCCCCCCCCCCCCTTTCCCTTTATTGTCCTTCTTTGCATTCCCCCCTCCCTTTTCTCTCCTTTTTTCCTCCCCTGTATTCCAAGGAGGAGCCCATGTCTGCCACTCCCTCCTCATTCCCTTTCCCGCCCGCTCCCTGATCCAAGTTTTTTGCCGGTGCCAGGTGAAGGAATTCGACTCCATCTCGCGGCTGGATCAGTGGCTCACCACGATGCTGCTGCGCATCAAGAAAACCATCCAGGGCGAGGGTGACGGCGACCTCAAGTGATGCCCGGGCTCTTCCTGGCTGGGCCGAGGACTTTTGGGGAATTCCCGACCCCATCCTGCGCTTTCTTTCCGCTTCCCACTCCCATGGCTCACTGTGTTTCTTTAGCCCCTGCTCTGTGGTGACGCTCCGGGCAGATGCCAGGCGAGAGGAGCCCTTGGAGCGGAAATCCTCCTACTTCTCCTCGTGTTTGGTCCCGCTCATCCTGGTGCCTGCACTCGCAGCTCCCAGTTTTCCTGCTTTTCCGTTGATTCCAGCATGTAAATATTCCATCAAGGCCAGCACAGTACCAATAAGTGCTCCCAGCCCATTGTGTTCCCATTTTCCTGTTCTCAAGTGTTGGATACACTTGGATTTGGGGGTCTGGAAGTGGTGCTAGGCAGAGGCTTTGTGAATTGGGAATATCCTGCACGCCCCCACTACGCCATAGGCACTCCAGGAGCCTAGGACTGGTGATGGCTCTAGGCCCTAGTTGGTTTCCATCATTCTTGGGTTGATTTTCTACTTTAGATCCCTCCACTTCCCAAATAATTCCACCTGTGGAAGGATCGATTTTTTACCTTACCCTCTGCATGTGCTGGGCACAATCCCTAAATTCCGACCCCTTGGCTGCACGCAGGTGTTGATCCCACAGGAGCATTGTTGGAATTCAGGTGGCAGGGGGGCACAGTTTGCTTGGGAAAAGTTGAAAAATTCCTGCAGGAATTGATGGGTATGTTGTTAAGGAGAAAGTATTGAGCTGCCTGGTTTTTCAAGGATGCTTCAGAGGTGTCGGGAGCTTGTGCAATTTGTCACTCTTTGGGAAGAGTGAAGTCATTAATTAAGGGCTGTTCTGGAGGCTCCAGGCAGCCCCAGCCCTTCTTTCCTCTGGAAAAAGGCAGGTTGGAATGTTGGGCTTTGGATAAAGCTTAGCTCATTGGGCTCTAAAGTTCTGAAAACCAAAAATCCCGATCCATGCCAAATTCTCCATGCCATTGGTTTGGTGTTTGCCCACCCTTCCTGATCTCTGTTTCCCACAGGTCCTTGTGTTCATCCCAAACATCCCAACCAGATGGAAAAGCCCCGGCTTGGGCGGCAGCGGGGCAGGGCGGGGTGGGGGGGATCTCCCAGCTCCAGGCTTGGAAGCGTGCGGGGTTCATCCATTCCCACCCTTAGGAATGGCTTTATCTAGTGTCCAGCACTGTGGGAGCCAGGATGAAGGGAAGCACAGCTTGGGAGGCTCCACTTTTCCTGGTGTTTTTTCAGTTCCCTGTGTCGGTGTTGTAGGACAGGAGGAGCAGAAGGGCTGTTACTCCATCCCTACACCTGGTAGTTGTGTGTGAGTAGCTCCAGCATGTCCTCTGCTGTATCCATGGTGAATTGTGACGGTTCCCAGGTGACAATTCCGCCACTCCCGCTGTATTGCCGCCCCACTTCCATCACTCTCTAATCGGAAAACTTATTTAAGGAAATGGCCTTAGCAAGAATATCATGTTTGGTGTGATTCTGTACATGAATAAAGTGAAAATCATGGATGGAAGGGAGAAGTGGTTCTTCTGGAAAACTCAAAAGGCTGGAGGCATGGTGGGATGATGGAGGCTGGAAGGGGGTGTGATTCCTTCAATTCCAGTTTGGAATCATAGAATGGTTTGGGTGGGAAGGGATCTTAAAGCTCATCCTGTTCCAGGGACACCTTCCACTATCTCAGTTTGCTCCAAGCCCCTTGAATACTTCCAGGGATGGGACAGCCACAGATTCTCTGGGAAAACTCTTCCAGGACCTCATCACCCTCACAGGGAAGGATTCTTTCCCAATAACCTACCTGAATTCCCCTTCTGTCACTGGGAAGCCATTCCCTCCATCTTGTCCTGTCACTATAATTCCTGATAAAGAATCCCTCCCACTTTTCCTTGTAGGCTCCTTCTGAGGTTTCCAGGGAATCGAACCTTCTCCAAGCAAACTTTCCAAGCCTGTCAATATCCCAAAGTGTCCCAATGGATATGACTGAGTCACTGGGAGGTCTCCATATTCTGTATTTTAATAGGAACAGCTCAAACAAGTAATTCACTTCCATATGTTCTGAGTACAAAGCATTCCCCGGCTCCAGATCCAAGTGCTCAGCCCTTAAATATATCTACACTCCTTTCCTTTCACTGGGAATAACTGAGCTCCAGCAGGAATAAGTATCTCAAATATAACCTCTTGGAAATGTCCTCTGGTACAAAAATTCCCTTTTTTCTAGTGTATAATTCCATGAGAACACCTCCGCCATCCCTTTATCCCAAAAAATAGCTCTGTGCCACAGGTTGTGGGGGGGGGCAGGGGTGTCTTTATTGCTGGATCTCACCAGGCAGGATTGTGCTTACCTTCCCCAAAGTTCTGCTCACAGCTTCAGCTGAGGAATTGCTGTGGGAATACTACAGGAACAGGCAAAGAAATGGGAAAAAGAATGGGAAAAGCTGTGGTTTTTTACACTGGGAAGCCCATCCTGAGGTTTGAAGCATTAAAGAGTGAGCTGCTGTTGCAAAAAAACAGGAGTCAGCCCAGCTAGACAAGGCTCCTTCCCTGATCAAGGGAAACCCCCCAAATCCTATTCCACTAACATGGAGCAGGAAAAGCCTCTGAACTGAGCCCCTTCCAGCACAGCTCCTTTTCACACACTTTATTCTAGGAGGTATTTTGATCTCCTAAGTGCCCAATTCCATGGGAGCTGGAGCAGCTGGAAAGTGAGAAGTGACAGGATTCAAGTACCAGACCGCTCCAGTTTCCATGCAATTGTAAAACCAAGGAAGTAGCACTTGGCTGCCACCTGCCCCTATTTGCTGCTCAGAGACTCCAAACTCCTGGAATGAAACTCCATGAATGAAACTCCTGGAATGAAAGCTGCTCCCACTTGCTGGGATCTTTGGCAAAAGCAGAGAGAAACCAACATTTCCTGAAAAGCAAATTTAGCCAGACTTCTCCTGGATGAAATTCCACTGGGGAAAACACAGCAAATGTCATAAACATCGGTTCTCCTGATTGTCCACGTGGCATTGAATTCCCTGGAAAACAAACCTGCACCACCAAGGTACCTAAGCCACCCCCTGAATTCTCAAGGGATCAACTCCTACAAATTCCCTAGTGTGGTGCCACCCTGCCTGACCATCAGGAGATGGAGCTGGGGAAGGAATTTCCAGAGGAAAGCTGGAAATCCACTCTCTCCCAGCTTCCCACCACCAGCCTCCCTCAGGCCAAGGACTGTACAAAGGCTGCAGCCTAAGGAGCAGGAGGCAATCCCAAATCATTCTATGTTCACCAGGGCGTGGAGCTGGGGCTGCCCAGAGTCCGTCTGCGTGTGGAGCACAGTGAGTTCTCCCAGCACGGACTCCTGTGTTCCAGAGGCCTTACAGTCTGTGCTGGAATTCCCGCTTCCCGGGACTGCTGCCAGACTCTGGTAGGGGCCGTTCTCTGGGAAGGACAGCAGCTTTTCTGGGATTTTGGGGGACACCTCGTATTCCTCATCAGGAAGCTCCGTTTTGTGCCCCTCGTCATTCTTGGCGGGTCCTTCCACGATGACGAGGAAGGACTTCCAGGGGGTGTTTTTATCATGGATCTGCAAAGGAATAACCAGGAGAGAGAAAGTTGGATACAGAATGACAAGCGAAAGTTTGGATCAAGCTTGTATTTGATATTGGTAGAAAAGGTTTTTGTTATGGAGTCATGGAATGGTTTGGGTTGGAAGACCGGACCGTAAAGATGATCCAGTCCCAAGCCCTGCCATGGATGGGGACACCTTCCTCTGTCTCAGGTTGCTACAAACCCTGTCCAACCTGGTTTGAACAAGTCCAGGAATGCAACACCCACAGGTTTTCTGGGAAAACTGTGCCAGGGCCTTCCCAGCCTCCCACAGAAGAATTCCTTCCCAACATCCCACCTAACCCAACTTCTGACAGTTTGAACTGGAAGTCTGCTCTGGGCTTGCCCCGTCATTCCAGGGAAGGTGGCTCTGAGGAGGGGTGGGGGCGCTGAGCCGCACGGCAGCGGAATGTGCTGCGGGGACTGCGGGACCGTACCGAGGTGTGCCGGCGCAGCGTGGACTTGTCGGTGAAGGTCCTGCCACAGGCGTTGCACATGAAGGGCTTCTCACCGGTGTGGATGCGGTGGTGCCGCTGCAGCGCGTTCAGCTGCGTGAACTGCTTCCCACACTGGTCACAGCAGTACGGCCGCTCCCCTGGGAATGCGGCATGGGAGACAGGCTGGGAATGCGGGCAGAGCAGAGCTGCTGTGCCTCGGGAATGCCCAGCAACCCCTGGCTGACAGGGAATGGTCAGGGAAAACATCCTGGTGGCACAAGTGTCACACTGCAACCCATGTGGAAGCAGCAAGTTCCTCCCAGCCCCACAAAGATGTGCTGCCACTCTGTTTTTCCACGGATTTTCCATTAGAGACTCAAGTCCTGCCCAGAATCCAATATTCCTCCTCCTTATTCACTCTTCTCTGAGCAAGAACCCCCTGAGCCACCCCCAGCCCCGGGATCACTCTGTAGACACCGCAAACGCCCTGTTTGGAAAGAGATCCCATTTGTGGCAGCAGCTCTCTGGCCACAGAGAGCAGGCACAGACTTTCCCAGGCATTTTCCCAGGGAATGCTGTGAGAAGATCAGAGAAAAGAGTGAGAAACAATTCTTATCTTGCCTTGTTGCACCTGCTGTTGTGTGCATGTGGAATGTGTTATGGAGATTTATTTACCAAAGGGTGATTTCTTAATTGGATACTGGATGGTGTTTGGATGGATTGACCAGTTAGGTCAAAGCTGTATCAGACTGGCTGTAAGGGTTACTGAGTTTTTTAGTAAGTTAGTATAATATAGGATGAGATGATATAATAAAGGAATGAATCAGCCTTCTGCAATCACGGAGTCAATGCTAATTATTACCCAGCTGGGGGCCTGCAGAAACACCCATCTTCCTCCTTCCCACGATAAACCTTCAGAGCTATACCAGAGCTCTCCATCACCAATGACCTTGGCAGCTTATTAAGGTATCTCCACAGCCTGTGGAAGCATTCCAGGGAATTGCTGTCATTCAGAACTAGTGGGATAAGGGGAGAACATGACACATCAAGCAGTGCACATGGGGAAAATCCTGGCTGAGAATTCCTTGCTGGAATATTGCAGTGGTGAGGAGTGTATCCAAGAAAAGGAGAACATCCTACCTGTGTATCAAAAAAAAGGGGGACATCTTACCTGTGTGGACTTTGATGTGCTGGTACAGGGAATTCCTCTGGGCAAAGGTCCGGAAGCAAACCTCACATTTGAAGGGCTTGGATCCCGTGTGGATCCGGTTGTGGTGTTTCAAGTATTCCTTGGAGGCAAAGCTCTTCCCACAGGTTTCACACATGAAAGGCCTTTCCCCTAAAAAAGGGAAAAAGCAGGATTAAACAAGCATTAAGAGCATTTGGGAAATTCCGGAGCATGTCCTCGCTGTGGGGATACTTAAAGGTCACCCAGTTCCAAACCATTCCATGGGCAGGGACACCTTCCTCTATCCCAGGTTGCTCCAAACCACTCCCAACCTGGCCTGGAATTCCAGAGATGGGGAATGCACAGCTTCTTTAGGAAAAGTCTTCCAGGGCCTCACCACTCTCACAGGGAGGAATTTCTTCCCAAAATTCAATTTACATCAACCTTCCCTCAGCTTCAAATCACGGGATATCATTGGAAATTTTTCTCAGGCAAATCCCAGCTAAGAGACAACAATATCTCATTTTATCCATAAAAATGTGGACAAAAAGCATTTTATGAAGGCAACATTTTCACTGGAATGTTTGGGATTGGATTTTCCCAGTTTTCCAGCCTCACCTGTGTGGCAGCGCCTGTGGTAGATAAGCATGTGGTTCTGGGTGAAGCGGGCCCCACACTCATCACACACAAAGGGCTTCTCCCCCGTGTGGATCCTGCAAGGAAGAAGGAATGGTCAAACTCCAGGACGGGCCTTTCCCTCATTCCCATTGATCCTTACTGCTGGATCAACACCCATATCCAAAAATGTTATGGTAAAAGCAAATTTTTCAAGGTGAAATGCAGCCAAATTCCGAAAATTCTCTCCAGGTCGTGGCACCAAATCCTTTGGGATGTGAGGGGCAGCTTCCCAGGGCGTTGGGATGGCTGCTTTTCCTGGAGAAACACATCCACAAGGCAAAATATATCCCCAAGGAGAAGAAATCCCCACCACCAGCTGCCACCATACCCAAATTAAGGCAGCATTGAGTTTCCAATGTCCAAAATTCCTGAAAAGGCTCTGAGAATGGACAAAAATCAGGTTTACACTCTCAGAGAGGATTTTTTCCCCTCATAAAAATGTCTCTAGCAGAAGACAGATAAAATAAGTGATAACATCAGGTTAAACCCCTCAGAGAAGATTTTTACTCTGATAAAATGGTCTCTATCATGAGACAAGGTAAAATGACTGATAAAATCAGGTTCAAGCCCCTCAGAGTTAATTTCTGCCCTGATAAAAACACCTTCAGAAAAATAAAACTGATAAAATCATGCTCGACCCCTCAGAGAGGATTTTTTGCCCTGATCAAAATGTCTGATCCAAGACACATGAAATAACTGATAAAATCACGTTTAAGTCCCTCAGAAATTACTTTTACCCTGATAAAAACACCGTGGGACAAATAAAATAACTGTAAAATCACGTTGACCCCCTCAGAGATGATTTTTGCCCTCATGACAAGGGCTCTGCCCAGAGACAGGTTAAAAAAAAGGGATAAAATTAGGTTAAACCCCTCAGTCTATTTCTGACTCTAATAAAAATGCCCTCAGAAAGATAAAATTGATAAAATCAAGCTAAAATCCCTCAGGTTTGATTTTTCCCTTATCAAAATGCTCTGAGGTAGATAAAATACTGACAAAACCAGATTAAAACCTCTCAGAGATGATTTTTTTCCCTGATAAAAACAGCCTGGGACAGATAAAACCCAGTGGGTGCTGGATCAGCTCCGTGTGGGTAACATCGGTGACGCACCACCTCCTCCTATTCCCAGATCCATTGTTTTCCCTACTTTGCCCCCAAATCCATCATTTTCCCATTGAAAACCCTGCCAAATCCTTCCCAAATATTTCCACATTTGTCTTTCTATCGAGTCTAAGGATGTGCTGGAGGAATCCCACCTGGATTTCCCTGCAGCACAGGCCTGGCCCATGTGGGATATGAGGAGAAAACAGGGATTTGGGAGGCTCTGAGGGCTGCACCCCATATGAAAACAGGGATTTGGGAGGCTCTGAGAACTGCACCCCATATGAAAACAGGGATTTGGGAGACCCTGAGGACTGGACCGCATCTGAGGAGAAAACAGGGATTTGGGAGGCTCTGAGGGCTGCACTCCATATGAAAACAGTGATTTGGGAGGCTCTGAGGATTGGACCGCATCTGAGGAGAAAACAGGGATTTGGGCGGCTTTGAAGGCTGCACCCCGTATGAAGAGAAACCAAGGATTTAGCAGGCCCTGAGGGCTGCACCTTGAGTCCAGGGAAAGCTGCTCCTACCTCATGTGGGTTTTCAGCGCCGAAGGCTGGGAGAACTTGGCCTCGCACTCGGGGCAGCCGTAGGGCTTGTGTCCCGTGTGCGTTCTCTCGTGGAGCCGCAGGGCCGTCCTGGAGCTGAGCCCCTTGCCGCACTGGTGGCACTGGTGGCGCTCCCCGCCGCCCTCGTGCACCTGCAGGACGTGCCTCTTGACGTCCTTCTTCCTCTTGAAGCGCTTGGTGCAGAGCTCGCAGGGGAAGCGGCGCTCGCTGCTGTGCACGTGCCGCTGGTGGCTGCGCAGGTTGCAGCGGTTGGCGAAGGTCTGCGCGCACGTCTCACAGCGGAACTCCAGCGCCGAGGCCACCCCGTGGCTCTGCTGGATGTGCTTCAGGAAGCTCTTCTCGTACAGGAACTCCTTCCTGCACGTGCTGCACTTGAAGGTGCCGCTGCGCTTCTTTTTGTCCACCTCGCCTTTGGGGAGGTTTTCCGGGGAGGTCCCCTCAGGTTTGCCAGAGTTCTCCTCCTGCTCCTGCTCTCCCTCCTCACCCTTGGGCTGCTTTTCCTCCTCGGCATTCCGCTGCTGCTCCCGCAGCCTCCGGGTGTATTTTTTCTTTGGGATCTCCACAAACACCTTCCTGCCAGCCAGCCGCCCGCTCGCCCTGCGGATCTTGGCATAAGGAGCCTTCAGCACTTCCTTCTTTTTGTCCATCTTCTCCTTGGACTTGGCAGCCGGCCCCTCAGGAGATGCTCCACGGCCAGGCGTGGCTACGGAACAATCTGGAGAATCCCACTCGGCCTTTGCCGTGGGCACAGTGCTCGGGCGGGTGGCACTTTCCTCCTCGGAATTCTGCGACTCCGAGAAGTTCTGCAGCTCCAGCAGCACGGATTCCAGCATCTGCTTCTTCAGCTGGAAGCAAGTCTCGGAGAGATCCAGGCACTTGAGCTTCTCGGCGATCTCAAGCATGCGCTGCACCCGGTCTTCCTCCACCTCCACACGTGCCGTGTACACAAACTCCAGGAAGGAGGCGAAATCGGCCACCTGCACCTCGTTGAGTAACACGTTGCTGTGGGGGCCATCCACGGGCTTCTCGTTGAGGAAAACCTCCTTGAAGAACTTGCTGGTGGCAGCCAGCACGGCCTTGTGTGCCGGGAACTCGGCGCGCACGCCCTGGTACTCCACGCTGACCGTGACATCGCACAGGTGGCCCAGCAGCCGCAGCTGCTGCATCTCGTTCAGCAGGTTGATGGGGGATGATTTGGATTCCAGCAGAACGGGGTTGCTTTCCATCTTCCTTCTCCCTGCTAACGAGATCCCACGTCAGCCAGTGGAATTCCACAGGTTTGCAGTGGCTGGGGCTGGGAGGAGATACGAGATTGTTTAATCCAACCTTGGACCAATCTCCAGAACCTCAAGAAAACCACGAAGTGAATCTGAGCTTAAATCCCAACCCTAATTTTCCATGAAACCCTTCAGGCTGTCAGAAGCTGGGATAGGGATGGAGCAAACAGAGCTGGATCCAAGTTAAGGCACCTGGAATTAAGGAATGATTCCTAGCCTTGCCAGGCAACAATAAAAGGAAGGCAAGATTAAGCAAAAGTTAACTGTTGTCCTAAAAAAACCACCTGAAAATGCTGCCCACATAAAAATCCAAACTCTTATGTGATGGATAATCATATTCACACAACTGAAAATCCCACAAATGATGGGAGTTCCTCAAAATGGACTCACAGCCTGCACATTCTGAAGGCCCGTTTCCAACACTCCATCAGGCCCTATTTCTAGGGAATGCTTGAAGCTGCTCCAAAGCTTGTAAAAGAGTGGAAGTTTTGGGGTGTTTTTTCCGAACATCTAACCACAGAACAAACCAGATTTCTATGGATTTAAAGGTGCTCTGAGGAATCTGTTGAGTCTAACCCTGTTACTACTGGAATCTGAGGAATTCCTTTCCATGGCTTGGTAATTAAATTATGTCTCACCCAATGCTTTTTAAACAATTTTTTACCACAATAAAATGATTTAACTACTTCTCATGTTATTTGACAACTACCCCCCTAATTCCATTTGAGCACTGTCCATTTCTCAGGAATGTCCATTTCTTATTTCCCCTTCCAGAGGCAAAACTGGCTGGAAAGAGGCAAAAAAGCTCCAGCCCAAAGAGGAATGGGAGAGGATTCCCAGGCGTCTGCTGCTGAAGCCATGGAGAACCCCACAGTGCCCACTTCCAATCCCATTCGCAAAGGACTCTACATCACATGGGAATGATGAGGTGGGGGAAAGGACCGGGGGAAAAAGGGGAGAGGAAAGGGGGGGAGGGTGGGAGAAGAAAAGGGAGGGGAAAAGAACTGGGGGAAAGAAGAGGAGAGAGGGAGAATGAGGGGTGAAGAGGGGAGAAAAGGAAGGGGGCGGGGGCAGCCCCGCACTCACGGCTCCCGGTCTGTCCCCGGCCCGCTCCCGGTCTGTTCCAGGCCCGCTCCCGGTCTGTCCCCGGCCCGCTCCCGGTCTGTCCCCGGCCCGCTCCCGGTCTGTCCCCGGCCCGCTCGGCCCCGGGCGCGGCCGGAAGCGCTGACGCGCCACGGCCCCGGCGTACGCGCGCCGGACGTGACGTCACGGAGAGAGAGAGAGAGCCGGGTGTTGCTAGGCAACGCGGCCTAGCTCCCGGATTTGGCATTCCCAAATCCCAGCGTTTTCCCCTGGGAAATCCGGGCGAATGAGGGAGGGACGGGCTAGGCGGATCTGGCATCTTTATTAAAGGAGGAATGGGTGATAGACAGCGGCTGCACTGCACCGTGTTTGTATAAACACACACCCTACCCTGCCCGTTCCGAATGGGATGCTCCCACAGCTTTGGGAAAAATAAACCTCTGGACAGATGCAAACATTTCACTGGTATAAATACCCTCATGAGGAATTACACCTTTACCACCTGCAATGCAGCTCCCGAGGCAGCTGCAGTGACCATCGGGAATGATTCCCTGCATTCCAAAGGATAATACCCACCATTCTGCCTCCAACAGCCCATTTTAGGTATAAAACTGACTTTATAAGTACAAAAGGGAGGGGTCAGTGTTCCCGGTGTCCCCAGGCCCAGGTGTCACGTGAGCTGCTGCTGCTTTAGCACTTCCTGGTTTATAAAGTTTCCCGTGGTCAACTGACCAAATTTCTGGCATGGGATCTCCTCCTGGATGCACTTCTGCTAAAGTCTCTATTTTGGACCAATTGTGGTCTTTTTTTAGTGTGAGGTCAATCAAGAAGTTTCTCCAGTGAGCATTCCGGTCATGGATCTGGGAAAAAAGAAGGGTGTGGGAGAGGAAAATAATTAGATCTGATTTTTAACTGCCAAACATTTAACTGCATCCAGAGCTAAATCCAACAATTTTGGGATAACTCCATGATGCCGGGTTCCAAGTTTTAACTCAAACACAAACAAGGCTCTTTTGCCAAATCTGTGCTGAATTTCTGGCTTTGCTGCCATGGAACTCTTCCAAAATCAGCTGGAATTTCAGCACACAGGCAAAATATTGACTTGGAGCTGGAAGGGAACCTCCTGTTCTGTCTGTGCTGTCACTTCCAGGACCTGGAGGTCTCTGGGAAGAGCAGAGCTCAGCGTTTTCCAGTGGAATGCCGGGAATGTGTGAATTCCTGTTAATGTGCGGCACAAAGTTGGATAAACCATTGTGTTACAAGGCTGGAATAAGGGTTAAAGCACCGAAGACTCTGCGGTTAATCCATAAAAAATCTAAAATCCCAAGTCCTTTGTCAAATGTTTTCATGGAATCTTTTAATGGAAAAGATCTCAGAGATGATGATCATTAGGAAGTGCTGTAGCCAGTCACTTCCAGGGATGGTGACTCTTCCCCTAGAGCTCGGAGATGACTGGACTGGTAGCCAGCAGTGGGAGCTGCTGTGCCGTTGGAGCAAAATCCCACAAAGTTCAGGAACAGATTTTAAGATGGTGGCTCACCACGCTGCCCTGAAACTTGTCCCTAGCACAGCCCCTTCCAAGGGCTGGAAATTCCCGCTGCCAGGGTGACACTGGCACCCTGGAGGAGGCACTGAGGATGGGGAAGATCCTGTGGATGTCCTACCGCTACGTGCCGGCGCAGGGTGGACATGTCGGTGAAGGTCCTCTCGCAGGCCCGGCACTTGTAGGGCTTCTCTCCCGTGTGGATGCGCTGGTGCCGCCGCAGAGCTCCCTGCTGCGTGAAGGCCTTCCCACACTGCTCGCAGAAATAGGGACGGGTCTCTGGAAATAACAATCCCAGCAAACACAGGGTTAGGAGCACTTAGGAGAGAGCAGCTGGCTCTTCAGCCCCTTCCCTGGAAGTGTCCAAGGCTGGATGGGGCTTGGAACAACCTGTGAGAGTGGAAGGTGTCCATGGCAGGGGGTGGAATGAGATGACCCCTAAGGTCCTTCCAATCCCAACTATCCCATGATAAATATTTCCCAATACCTGCCAAGGCTACAGCCATCCTTTACTCCAAATTTCTTCGGCTGCACAATCCAGGCCTCAGTTTTCTAGCATAACACACAAAGCTCCCGTTAGCCAGAGTCAGGATGACGCCTACTTCCCAACGGAATTTCCATCCTTGGAGCTGTCCAATGAATGCCTAGACATGGCACTCAGTACTCTGGGCTGCCGACAAAGTGGGGAGTGGGCAAAACTTGGACTCGATGACCTTGGAGCTCTTTCCTAACCTCAGTGATTCTGGGATCCCCTAATTCAGCAATGGGATGGAATGTCCACATCCACAGCGGAAGTACCACAAAGCCACCATTCCTTCTCCCAGCCTTGGAATTACCTGCATGGACGTTGCTGTGCTGGGCCAGGGAGGCTCTGAGTCCGAAGGCTTTCCCACAAACTTCACACCTGTAGGGTTTGGCTCCCAGGTGACAGCGCCTGTGGCACTTCAGGTACTCATTGGTGGCAAAGTCCTTCCCACACACGTCACATCTGAAGAGCCGCTCTCCTGAGGGAAGAGAAACTGAACATTGGGAATTCTCACAGGGGAATTTTGTCCTTCAGAGTCAGCCTACAAATCACAGAACCCAGGCTGGAAAAGACCTCCAAGGTCATCGAATCCAACCTGTGCTCAATCCCCACCTCGGCAGCCAGTGCCACATCCAGCTGTCCCCTGAGCACATCCAGGCATCCACCCATTCCAATGCCTGATAACCCTCTCCATGAAGGAGTTCTTCCTCATATTCAACCTGAGTCTCCCCTGGCACCACTTGAGGACATTCCTCTCACCCTATCACTTGTTCCTTGGGAGCAGAGCCCAAACTCCCCCTGGCTCCTGTCAGGGAATTGTGGAAAGCAACAAAGTCCCTCCAGAATCTCCTTTTCTCCAGGCTAAAAGTCCTTCTATCTCTATAAATTCCTTCGTGGTACTTGGATACGCTTCTATGAGTTACAAAAAAAGAAAAAAAGGAGGGGTTTTTATTTCGTATCTCAGCAATAAAACAGGAAAGAGATGGGAAAACCACCTGGAATATTTCATTCCCACCTGTGTGTGTCCTTTTGTGGCCAGTGAGTTTTCCTCTGTCGGCAAAGGAAGCGCCGCAGTCCTCACAAATGTAGGGCTTCTCCCCAGTGTGGGATCTAATGGAGAGAAAACACCAAAGATTAGTAATTAATTAGGTCTTGATCCCTAAAATACTGGATTTGAAACCATGTTTGGATTTTAAATATAGTGGGAAAAGGAAATTCTGCTCCCTCAGAAAACTGAGTGTCTCCAGGTACAGGTGCTACACTCCAGGAGTAAAAGTCCCATTTAAAACTGACCTTTTAAAATTCAAAATTCCCATTTAAAATTTACCTTTTCCTCACTTTCAGGCCCTAAAAAATCCACATTTTTCTCCCAGACAGCTCAGAGCATGGGAAAGGAGAAAGAAGAGAAAATGACAGAAAATTACTGAGAATCAGAAAAATCTGAGCCTTAATGTTTGGTCTTAACTTATTCCAACCTAAGAAGATGCTGTCCAAAATCATTCCTGATTTTGAGCTGTCAGGACAAAGGATTATCATCAATCTTCTCTGGAGAAAGATGGGAAATTCCATGGGATGATTGACTCTCTCCTGGGAGAGGGCACATCTACACAGACATCACCAGGGAACAACTCATCATGTGAACCTCCAGCCGAGTAGTGTGGATTTGGAGCTGTACATGAGGATGAAATCCCATGGCAATTCCTTGCTCCAAGAGGGAGCATGGCTCAGAATCCATTTTCCAGGAACCCTGACTCACTCTTCATCACTGAGGATCATAGTGGGATTTTAGAGCCTGTCCGAAATGACAGATATTCCTTGCAAGTTTGGACAGGGTATCCATGTCATAATACCGACCATGGGAAATTGCAACATGAGGCCTAAGCCTTTGCACAAGGGAATTAATCACAGATCCCACTGAACCCAATATCCTGATGTTCCTGCTCTAAGGGGCAAGGAACGGGCATGGCTGGAATCTGACCTGGTATGGATCTTGAGCTGGGAAGGCTGAGCAAACCTGGAGTGACACACACCACACTCATAGGGCTTCTCGCCAGTGTGCGTCCGCATGTGGAACACCAGCGCCGTGTCGGAGCTCAGGATCTTGCCGCACACGGAGCACAGCGGCCGCTTGGCCCTGCCCTCATGCTTCCGCATGGAGTGAGTCCTCACATCCCGCTTCCTCTTGAAGGTGGCCTGGCAGAGGCTGCAGGAGAACCTCCTCTCCTCACTGTGCACACAGGCACGGTGCTCCTTCCAGCTGGTATAGCTGGCGAAGGCCTTGCTGCACACCTCGCAGCGGTACACCTTGCCAGGCAGGCTCTGATGCACATCCCGGCAGTGATCCACGTATTTTTTCCGGGAAACAAACTGCTCCTGGCACTTGTCGCAGTGGATCACGTAGATGGATTTCTTGTTGGCCACACTTTCACTGGCCTTCTTTAGTTTAAACCCTGGTTCAGGTTCTTTGCTGTCCTTCTCTGTTGAGGCTTCATCCTCCTCCTCCTCAGAACATACCTCGTTGTCCCTGCCTCCTTCAACTTCTGAGTATCCTGTGTTATAGTCTCCCTGCTCCTCGCCCTTCACACTCATTCCACCTCCATCTTCATTCGCTCTTTTAGCTTCCTGGGATTCCTCTTGCTCCTTGCTCCTTTCTGCTTCAGCAATGAATGAATTCCTGGCATCTTCCTCACACCCTGAGGTTTCCGGTGTGCCGTCCCAAGTCTCTCCGTTGGGATCTTTGTCACGGCTTGTGGGGTTTGGGCCATGTGTGGGTGGAACCACCATCCAATAAACAGGCAGGAGTTGCCTCTCTTCCCCAGACTCATGGATTTTCCTGTTAAAAATGGAGGACAACTTCCATTAAGTTTACTTGAAACTTATTAATTGTTTAATTGTTCCAATTCAGGCCTTGGGGGAAGAGTCCTTTCCTTTGAATTGTTCCTTGCACATTTAAGAAATTCACAGCATGTTTGGAAAGCCTGAAAATAGGGAGATTTTGGGAAGAGCTGGACCAGATAATTAAAGGAAATTAAAATGCCTCAGTTCATTAAGATCTGTATTTTTCACCTGACTAGGAATGTAGGATGGACTCTTCCTCCCAGGC